TGTGAATATTTTTTTTCTCAAATGAGTGGTTATGAGCAATCATAAGCTCTATTTAATTATATATCCTACATATATTTTATTCCTGAGTGATTAATGTGTGATTAAAGTGTGTTTTTGGAAAATTGCAGGCATGACTCTCAGAAGAATCTGAATTTGTAACCATTATAAAACCTTCATTTCTAATAAATTTCAGAAGCTGAAGAATTAAAAGGAGTTCATAAAGGAAAATCCCACCCAGACATCACAATCTGACACCCAAAATTGAAACAGACATCTTTCGTATCTGAGGGATCCTTACTGCACTGCATCTGAAAAACTTTACTTCTCTGGAGGACTTGTGTTTATCACATGAAAATGATCCTTAGCAAAGATGTCATCTCTAATTATTACTTACCAGTTTCCAGACAAGCAATTCATGTCATCCAACACTCATTGGGAAAATCAGCATCTCAAAGATCTTTTTTTAATTCTTGTTTGCTTCAGTCAGAATTTTGTCACATGTCCTCATGAAGGATTGGTGTTTATAATCAGTGCTGTAAAGCCAAGATCCAGTTATATCCAGTATTAGGTTATGCCATGTTGTATTATTATAGGCACTCGTCCAGTGAACTTTGCAATATCTATGTGATTCAGGAATGTCCCTGGGTAACCTGTTGCAGTCACCATATGACCACACTAACAGGAATCAAAAAAACCAACAAAGGGTCTTTCTAATATCTAATTGCTATTTTTCATGTTCTAAGCTGTGTCCATTGTGTCTAGTCTTTTCATTATGCCACGTACAGGATGTGTCTGACTCCATCTTCTCTCTTGCCTGCAACAGGTACCTTCCTCATTTTATATCATGTGTTTGTTGTTACTACCACAGAAAGAGCCTCAATCCCAATTAGTACCTAATCATAGTTTGCAGTGTAAAAAAAAAAAAAAAAAAGAAAATCTAGAAAAACTTTTTCAAGCTACTTTTTTTTTTTTTTGGTCACCTGGCTTTTTTTACTCTTCTTGGTTTGCCATTTCATAGTTCCAAACTGAAATATTTTAAAGTGAGCTCATATTTTCCTTTTTTTTTTTTTTTTTTTTTTGTATGTGTGTAGTTGGGTGGTGTCATTCCTAGAAAGCATCTTAGAAAGAAGAAAATGCAAAGGACAGACAACTGATGATACTGCCAGTAAAACTTTAAAAGTAACATAATTTCTGAAATAGTAATAGTTAAGAAATAGCTGGTTAAGTGTCCCTTTGACACTTGTTTGTTCTGCTAAAAGGTGACACTTCTTAGAGGAAAGGCATCCCAATGACTAATTCTGGGTCCAGGAGGTTAGCAGACTTTTGACTTTCTTGAGATGAAGGAGAAGGTAATTTCTAAAATAGGCAGTTAGTTCTCTTACCTTTTGAAAGGTTCCAGTTGATATTTTATATCACTATTGTTATTCCTTGTTTATAAACAGTGAAAACATTTTCTTGTTCAGTATGCTGAAAGGTGGGTGGAAGAGAGAAGATTGGCTTCACATTCTAAAAATTCCAGTAAATTATCACTTGTAATTTCAGGTGGATTACCTGCTCTCATAATTTATCGTTCTTACTTTATTTATTAGTGGAAAGGGGGAGTATTATACTGCTCTTTCCTAGTCCAGCTAACTGAAAACCAGCTTTCTGATAAGTCTCAGTCAGGCCACTGCATTGTACAGCTTCATAGATCAATGTCTTTAGTGATTTATATCTTCTCATTGATTCTGGAAAGCTTGCCATTTCCAGGCTGCCGGGACTGTTTCCATCTCTTGTTTTCTATTGGCTATAGGGCCCATAGTGTTCCATCAAAGGGTTCATCATCAGTGCACTGTTTGTTTGATTTATAGAGCAAACTGAATACTTAGAAATAATGGTCAGGGCAAGATGTCATTTAAGATTTGCGAAATACTGTTGGTTTCAGAAAAGCAATGACAGTTTAAAGCAGCTTGAGAAGCTTACACAATGTGGGACTCGACTGGAAGTTTCTCATTAATTTCTGTGGGAACGGGTCTGCAGTGAGCAGCATAATCCTAGTCTCAGTAAGATTTGAATTTTTAATATTTTTATTGTCCCTTTGTTGACACAGAGCATTAGAGATGTAGATGAGCCTTTACTGTAGAATTTTCATCAGGCTGCTGTGTTTGCATTCTCTCATGGTACAGGCATGTGTCTTAAATTCATTGGTCTGGGAAACCCAAAGCTGGGTTATTGCTTTTTCTTTTTTTTTTTTTGCTGTCCAGCTTACTTCCAGAGCACCATTTCCATCTGTTACCTTTTCACAGAAATTAAACTGCACTGATCAGCAGGGTAGCACTTATTCTGCCTTTGCTGGTCTTGGGACCTGGAGAGGATTTTGCTATCCAGCTTGAAAACCCAGCCTGCATTGTGACTGTGCAATACATGAGGCACACTGCAGAGACTGTTCAGGGGTGTCTTTACTTGAGGTAACACAAGAAGTATAGGACTCTGGGGAAAAATAGGTATCAGCTGCTTTTACACCATTGTTTGCTGCCTTTAGCCTCCTCACTGCAGAGATTTCTGTAGCATTTGACCAGCATCATGCAGGAGATAATTTCCTCGTGCAGATCTCTCTGCCCCTTCCTTCCTTCCCCAGTAGTCAGCTGCCTTTGATATTAACAGATATTGCACTCTCCAGAGGCTTCTGTCATTCAAAAAGCTTTTCTTATCCTCCCTCTTACTTGACTTGACTTTGGCACAAAGGGTACCTGTTTCCTTTGCTTCCTCAAGTGTGGATTTTTCACTCTATCCTTACTGGATATCACCCAGGTGGAACTGGTGAAAGTGTCGGGGTGGTGCCCTCAGTGCATGACATGTCTTAGCACAAATTCTGAGGTTAATAGTGTTTTCTTCTGTTCTGCAGCTTTTCCAGGTAGGGTGGGTGACATATCAGGGACCTTTTCAGTCCATGCCTGAAACACTGAAACTCGTTTATTATCCCTCAGTAATAAACTGGTTTTGGAACTACATGAGCTGCGCTTCAACACTCAGGCAGGGCTAACAGTACTAAGTGTCTTGAGGTGTTCTGGTGCACATCACAGTAAAACAGGATGTGTGTTCTTGATTTTGTCATTCTTCTGCAAAGTTCATCATATTTTGTAATTAGAAGATGAATGAGTTACTTCTTTATGTGACTGGGATTTACTCTGTGAGAAGTTTCTGTAATGAAACGTCATAAACTGTGCTTTCTTCTACCTGTCCTTTGAAATTGCTGCCCTGACTTTCTGCAAGGAAGGTGTCCCTGTGCACATGTTTATGTTTTCTTCTATTGTTAGCCACATCTGATTCATGTCACATTCTCTCCTAAAAATAATTGTTTGTGCATGAATTGCAACAGAGAGATACCTTTGTCATTTTTTTCCCCTGAATTCATTGAAGTGTTTTATCTCAGTGCACTCCTTGGGGCAACTTGAAGGAAAAACGGTTTAATGGCTCTTTTACAGATACTTGGTTGTTGCATTGGTGAGTAGCAAACAGGCAAAAAAATCCCAAGTACTGTATTTATGGTTCCTTTGTGACCAGGATCACAACTAATTTTCCAACTATTGTTGGAAACCTGATGGAGTGGCTCTTTGACATCTATGTTTTGGGGCTCAGAATGAGATCTGTGCCTTATGGTTTGTGTAAGGGTATTCAGTAATTAAGCCCATAGGTTACAAAATTAATACTTAATTAAAGTTTTAACATAGTAATAATCAATTTCTAAGCTAGTTAATATTTTAAAAAGACATTGTTATAAATGAGATCCTCAGTGCTGATATTTAATTCAGTTACATTTATGGGTTTTATTTAAGATAATGCCTTGCTATTAGCTCTCAGAGAGTTGTATTTGCACAGTTATTCAAGCTGGATCAGTTCTTCATGAAAATGCATACTTTTATGCTTAGACAGAGTTCATGTTGTGCAGTAGTTATGGGAAATGAATCCCACTTATGGACTAACCCAAAGATCATGAAAGTATGAGCCTTTGTATTTAAGAATTATCAGAAAGAAAACTAAATGCTCATTGAAAAACTTCTCTAGGTTTATGCTGACACCCAGTATTTAAATGCTGATTTACCTGACATTTTCCATTTTTAATCTGCTCATTAGTTGTCACACTGGATCTGCTCATATGATTAGAGAAGGTGTTTTACAAGGTAGAGCCCATGCCGTTGGTGTTGTGCTCCAACGATTGTCCACTCTGTACATCTGTGTAATTCTCTTTTTCCTCATATGCCTTGTCATTTTGGGCAATGTCAGGCAGGCACTGCCTGCTTTGGGTCTTGATGTTTTGCTTGCTGTGTTTCACTCTCTCTCTCAACAGAGAACTCAGACACACAATTAATGGAGTGAGCAGGATTCACTGTTCAATCCTCTCCTTTTTGTAGACCACTTGTAAAACTCGGCAGCCACGGTCCACTCAGCAGCAGCAGCTGATAACAACCCAGTCTGACTGGCTTATAACAGACTGGGGCACTTCTGGAGTTTTTGCTGTCAGTTTGGTTCTCTCCAGTCATATGTTAGTGTGGATCTTTAAATCAGTATTCATGTGGTAACTCGATTCTCAGCCTATTATTTAGTCATTCAAATATTAGCTCTAGATGAAAGGTGAAATACATTAGGCATGAACATATGTTAGCTTTTCCTCAATAAACTGTTTTATGTCTCAGTGGCAAAATGCTTCCATTGAACGCTGGTATGTTCAATTTTCATTGCAATTTTTAAAGAAGAAAATGGAAGTTATTTTATTAAAGGGATGATGAGTTCTGCTTTTCAAAAATCTAACTAGATGTAGAAGTTAAGTTGTGAATACACTTGCAGAATTGGCATAGCAACATGTTTCACAGACCCTTCATGACTCTACTTATTCAGTACTTTAATCATGTCACTAGCAACTTGCTCTTTTTTCATTCACATACAAGGGAGAATTGAAGATATTTGCATAGTTAACTTCATTTGCACCTGTGAGTAATGACATTTTCCAAATACCATTTCAGGAAAAGCTGTCAGAAGACAGTAGGAGATGTAAAGAAGGCATGGAAAAAATTCACACACTGGCAGATGAAGATTCAAGAAGTGAAAGCAGCAGCACTGAGGAGGAAAAAGAAAAGACAAAATTGCTATTGGAGCGTTTGAAAGCTTTGGAGGTAAGAAGCACAACAGTTTCACACATAGAAGACCACCCTTCCCCCTTCCTCATTCGTTTATTGGCACTGAATCACCCTGTAGTATTAATCTAATCTTTCACAGTTCACCTGATTTCATGTTATGGGGTATTTTTTTTATGATTCATTTACCAGGGATGAGCAAGAAGCTTAGAACCACTAAAAGGATCCCTCTGTAATGTTGAGCATCAGATATCCTTAAAAAGAACTTAATACGTTATTTTAATTCCATTGAGACCGTTTAATAAGAAAAATTGGTTTTATTCGGGTTTTTTTTCAATTATTAATATTGCAAGACCAATATAGGTGGTTTAACAACTGTCATAAAACCAGTGTTGCCTCTTTGTAGTTTAATGCTCAACTTTTAATTGCTGGACTGCTTGCTTGGGAGAGCTCAGGCCTTTTTACTGCTGGATTGCAGAAAATCTATTTGCTTGTAGACTACATGGAAAACTGCACACTCTACGTTTTGAGTTGTTTCTGGAAAATTAGGATCTGCAATAATGCACCTTGTGGCAGTTTCTAACTAAAGTTTTAAAGTTTCCTTAGGCAGCCACGGACAAGGTGCAGGTAAAACTGTAACCACTTTATACATGTACTTATTCTGTGCTCCTTGATAGAAACACGGGTTTCAGTATCTATGAAAAAATAAAACTATGCGTATTTTAATCTATTTTTTTAATACTTAAAAGTCATATTTTTAACTTACCAAGTGTCTCTTCCCTTCTATTCAAGTATCTATGTAACGTTATAGGTATGGATAAATGAATCTCTGAGAACGATCTTAGTGACATTTTGCCCGTTTAGGGTATTGGTAAAGAAAGAATCATCACTGGACCTATACATTCATGGCTGAGTGTGAAGGCTCTTTCACATGAGAATTTTCGGGTTGAGTTGTACTCTGATCAAATTTCATTTTGAAAAAAATTCTGTGGTTTTTTTGTTTTTTTTTTTCCTGAGGACTGACTTAGTTAAAAGTAAAACATGAACAGTTATAATCATCTTTGGATCTAAATACAGAATCTGAAATCCAAAAGGTTTAGGCAGACTCCACAATTTTACTTTACTTTAGAGTCTTAAGCTATGTGTAAAATAAAAATACGTAATGTTAAAAAACTCTAATTTTACCCTGAGGGAAAACCACTTGCTACTAATTTTTTAGGCCATAAAACTGACAAATGCACAGTTTACTATGGTCCTGCTTTATCTGCTGATGGAGAATGATTGTACGCTCCTTGTGGTCTTTTATTTCCAAAAAAAATGCATAATTTCTGTTTGCTTTGCCTCAGTCTGCATGACATTTTCAGTTCTTTATGTCTTCAGTTGGTAGGAAGGTGTTCAGTAGTGTCACAGCCTTTATCAGCTGTGGCAAACTGCCCCGATACATAAGGTAACCCTCAGGACAGGCAGGACCTAGTTCAGGAAGGACACTGAAGAGGTCTCCTCACTGGTGTCAGGATTGTGCAGTGGCTTGTTCAAAACCACATATTAGGAAATGCCAATACTGCAAGAATTAATCTATGTAAATAGTCTAAGGAGCTGTCAAAGTAGAAAGATGAACTGCAGGGCCAACATTAATTGTGATAGAATATAATCAAAAAAAATTGTTGTTAATTGTCTGTTGTTTATTGTTATGTATTTTTGCACTTTATTTTTCTCTTGAAGAATATAAATTGTAATGTCAGAGACTGTATGGTTTATTAATTAAGAGACTTTTTTAAGTTATATGCAATTAGCTGATTTAATTCTTTACTATTTTCAGAGTAATTATTCTAAATATATTATTAGTCTATAGAGAAAAGAACAAAAAATTAGTCTGTTAGTTCCTGTGCTGTGGGTGTCAGGATCTTTAATCTTACTTTACATGATTAGGTGTTATTGTATCATACACAATTAATAAAATCAGAAAGGCTAATAAACTGCTTACTAAAGTTGGTCCTCCATCTGTGCCCTCTGGAATCTGAAGACTGCCTAAAAACAGAAGCTGTTAAAAGTAATAGTCAGAATGTGGGACCTAATCCATTAATGCCTATTAATATAATTTCATTAATATCAACACTTTTGATATCTCTTCCTATTAGTTTGTTACCCAAGTGTAGCTCATGAAAAGCTGTAGCCTTGTCTGTTAGAGCATTGTAGAATTATTCTTCAGGAATTACTGGCACTGTGGTGAAAACTGTAGTCATCCTGATGTGTTGGATATGGACCAGGAAATTATCAAATCTAAGAATTAAAAAATGGGTGAGGCTTCATTTCTACAGGAAACTTTCTTTAAATGGCTTCCATATCATGGCAGTAGTGATTAATATTTCTTCTTCTTTTTTTTTTTTCTTATATTTGGGTGCTGTCAAATGTACTGCCAAATAAATTTCAGTAATACCCTTTAGGTTCTATTAAGTTCTGTTTAACCTAGAAATTTTCTCACCAAAAAATACTAATCAGTATAATAAAGTATCTTTGTAGTCAGCCCAAGTGAAAGCTATCATATGCTTTGATAAGAGATATCTATACATATTCTCCCATTGCTCCTTTTACCTATAATTTTTTTTTACATCCTTTATCATTTACAGCAAATTCTATTTCCACTCTACTGACTGATAAATACCATACATTTCCAATCAAATGAAACAGATGACAAATAGCAAATGGTTCATACCATCTTGTATCCCATTTTATGCAGTTGAAATTAATAGTGATTTCCTGGATATCAAAACTCCTTTGTGCCTTCAGCATTTTTACTTGGCTGCTCTTGAAATGCCATTTAATTTACTTCAGCAGTTATGATCAAATGCCTTCTAACTCTTAAGAAGAAAAAAAAAATCATTCTCTGATAACTTCTCTGTGCATTTGGAGTGCTGCAAAAAATTAAATATTAATGAAGTATGGTGCATAACTTGAACTCTGTGGTGGAATTTCATTTTGTTAATCTGCTTTCATCACCAGAGGAATTGCAGTTTTTTTTAAAATTGTAGCCAGAAATGTACAAAAAATATAACGTATTCTGGACATGTATCACCCCCCCAACCAGCAATTTCAGGTATGTGCAGGTATATACACAATTACAGTAAAACAATAATGTTATATTTGCAAAGTCATATACATAGAAGTTGGAAATTTTTCATAAAACCTTAATTTGCTCTCCTGGGTATCTTAGGTGTTATACAGACTCTCATTGCAAGATTGTCTACTACTATTTCTTGTTTCCAGCAAGAACAGTTTACACATTTACAGTCCACAGAGGAAAGCTTTTAAAATATTCTATATTAGAAAAACAGTGTCTGTAAAGGCCTTAAGAGTGTCCCAGAGCTTTGTTCTCCAATATGGAGCCGTGGGTTCTCTGCCCCAATTTAGCCTCAAAATGACTGAAGTACAGGCTGCTTGAGCACCTGCATAATTGCAAGTGATTTGAACTGATATACAGCATTAATGTCAGTCTTAATCTAAACATGTCTGTAAAAGCCATAGTTACTTTGATTTTAAAAATTTAATCAGTGATAAATACTGTGTCAGCTTTGAAGGCTTATTAAAGTTTGTCATTTGCACAGACATTTATGCAGTGAGAATAATTCAGTATGAATTAGCTGTGTCTGACTCTATGGAACATTCCATCTCTTTTGGACTTCCTTCTTTGCAACTGAAGTAGTGCAACTTTCTTAGAAAGCTTTTGGTTGATTATGAAGAAGGTAAGTTGACAGGGATGGCTCCAAAGGACTAAAGAGTACTTAATGCAGGTTGTATTGGTTAACGCTTTGCTTTGACAGTAAAAAAGAGTTTCTTTGAGATGCACAAGTTTTTTTGATGGTTTTGTGTCCTCTCACACAAAAGATTGTGTCTTCTCAATTCCTCAAGAGAAAAGGGGAGTGTAAGCAGATATTAGATGAAAACCCAAGACTGGACTCAGTTCCCCTCTTGACTGCAGATGTCCTGCATCCTCAGCAATCTAATCTATTTGTGCCTGTTGGGGATGCAGTTCCAAGCGCCTGTAGACAGATTTACCCACCAAAGTCTGTAACAGTGCATAACCAACACCTTGCTAAAACCACAGTATTGACATTCAAATTAAAATAAACATTGTCAGCAAAGAAGTGCTTCCCCTGTTTTGCCAAGTGTCCCCTTCCCATTCTGCAACAGGCATGAGTTCTATTGGCCTCAAAAAATACTGAGTAAGGGCTGCTCACAACCTTGCATTTTTCACCCAACAGCAGCCGCTGGGGTAGCATTAAATTGTAACCTTGAAGTTATCAAATGAAAAGCCTAATTCATGTGTGAAAATCTCATTGCTTGCGGGTGAGTGAGACTCAATGAAAGTTTCAGTAAACTAAGCTGCAGTAGGAGCAGTATCTGCTGGGGTAGAGTCACGAAACCACTCTAATTTTAATTAAAGAATTTTGCCCCCTTGCCCTTTGCAGTTCATCATAGAAAGATGTGTTTTGTTTTAATAAATTGATCTTTGGGAGAAAACTCACTCAGGATAATAAGCTAAATGTTCAAATATATTAGGGGGTAATTTCCCTTGTATCATCACCATTAAACAAATGAGGAAGTATGTCAAGTATTTCCGATATTATGTTTTTACTACCCTGCAGAGGAAGAAAGACATGATAGCAATGAACTATGAACTATAAAAAAGAAATATGAGAAGGGTACATAATTCCTCGGAGCGGATTGAGAAGATAACTTTGAGTGGGATGCTGATGGTTTTTACTTTGCTCTTATTTCATTTTCTCTTCTTTTTTCTGTGTACTACAATGTACCATGGTAAGAAAACTAATAATTATTTTCTTTTCAATGGAAAGAAACACATAGGATGCAGGGGCAAAGAGCCCAGGTTTCTGAAAATAACTGAGAGAAGACATCTTGTTTATTGAAAGTCAACCACTTCACCGGTGTATAGGAAATTTGAATCCCTTGACTTAAAGGCATAGAAAAATAATGAAACTTTTAAATATTTTTTGTAGTGACATTCTAAATATTTTGTACCAACTGGTCTTGTTCCAGCCAATGTTTTTAAGCTGATTCAGCCGGAAGCCTCTTCTTAGCCCAATGCCTTGGCCATCTGC